AATTCTTAAGAGAGACAATATAGTCATGCTCCCACTGAAATAAACTCTTCTCTGTGCTTATACTCTAAATTCCTATGAAATTTTCCTTTCTGATGATTGGGTTAGACAATGAAGTAACAAAAGTCAGTATTCCCAAACAAATCTATGGTGATAGTAATCAGAATAGTTGTTGCCTGTGGGATATAAGAATTGTCTAGATAGAAGAAGGCATAAGGGAACTTTCTAGGGTGATGGAATTATTGTATATTTTGAATGGGATGTTGGTCATATGAATGTATTTATATTTGCCCAAATTCATCTAGTTATACATTTAAGATTAGTGCATTTTGCTGTCTGTGAAATTTATCTTAACTTTTTAAAAAGTCAGAACTCACCCCCCTCCCTGTTTCCCATAAAACAGAGACCAAAACCACAAATGTCTATAGGAGCTTGGCAGCTAAGTTAAATGTGTAATTGGACTGGATAGAATATAATAGGAGGGTCGAGGGCTGCCAACAAACTGGAGAGAGTATGTTTGTTCTTTATCACGATCACATGGACAATACATGCAAAAGCAGAACTTATATTTACTAGGCACCTCAGGTGTTTTGGTCAGTAGTCAAGTTTGTGACACACTGTGCTATGTCACAGAGCCATCAATAGTCTCCAAACAGGGATACACAAGATGATCTATTGAAATGTAGGAAAATAAATATTTAGAAATTTTTTCACATTCTTTTTTTTTCATTTCATTTTAGAGCATAAAAAGGAACCCACTGAAGGGTGTATACGACATTTATGTGGTATACCCTGTACCAAATCAAGCAACTGAGGTCTAGCGTGTGGGCAACATTCCAAAGAATGCAGGGAGTACACAGACAGGACTCAAGAATAGGCACCGCACCACTGGCATAACTGAGACTCCATGGGGGAGATAATGCTGCTACAACCACTGCAAGTAAGGAACAAGTTTTACCACACATTTCATTCTTAGGGAAAGGGAGAGAGCACTGCAGAAATTACTCCCCCTCCCATTCTAAAGTGTAGGCTGAATTGTGAGTGTTACGTGATTCTCTGCAAAAGAAAAAAGAGTTGGGGTGGTGGGGGAGTGGAGCACACTTTGAAGGCCTGTGACCTAGCTAGGCTGTTGTTTGTTCACAGAGAAGCATACCAACTTACTGATTAGCTTACCAGTGTGGTAGAAAGCAAGCACGCCTGTAAAGCCAGGCAGGTCAGAGAGCACAGAACCACAACTCTAGATTCCAGTGTACCCAGCCAACTCCATAGTCTGGCCTCACAGGCCGCTAGGAGTCCTCATAGGGCATGGTACCTGCCTGTATATTCCAATTCTCCCTGTTGGAGAGGTGCTCAGAAGGACTGCCTGCCTCCCACTCCAGTGGAATCAGGAATCCAGAGAAACCCAGAGACGCACCCTGCCTGGTCCATTATTAAAATAAAGGTTTCATTGCTCTAAACAAGACCCAGTATGATGGTTAATTTTACATGTCAACCTAATATGCTCAGTATAATTGTTGCTTAAGCAAGAATGAAATTTATTTCTCTCTCAAATAAAAGTCCAAACATGTATAGTGGCTCTGGTTTACAAAGATGTCAGTCTCCCAGGTTCTTTCTGTCTACTTGCTCCACCATTTCTAGGTTGTTGCCCTTATTTAATGATCTAAAATGCCCACATGTGGCCAACTAAAAATTGATGACTATGAGAAAGAAAGGGAAAACTGCTTTGAGACAACCACGTCTGGCACACTACGGCAACCAAAGTCCAGTCCTGAATTATGAAACCAAAAAAAAAAACCAAAAAGCAATCTCAGAGTATATGAAAAATAAAAGTTTTTTATATACTCCAGATAACAATCATAAAAATCAGGCTATTAAAGCTCAGAGCATTTGATGCCAACAACCCACAGTTCCTGCACAAGGACATGGAAAAATGCAGCCACGGAGTCTGTCTGTCCTAAGCAAAAAGGCACACATCATATATAAATGCGGTGGTACTGACGACAGCTGATTTTTTTCAAACAAACTGGGCAAGTTTTAGCATATTTAAAGGAAGTGCAGAGGCACCGACTACAGAAGATGTGGCCACATTCTGTAGAGTAGATGTGTCTTCTAGTAACTTCAATCTCTGTGTACCCATCCATGCAAATTCGACACCAGATATAACCAGGTAGTGTGTGACTTAGAGTTTCTTCTTCCGGGGCATTATGGTGGGTACTGTTGGTCACATATACATCTCTGTCACTCATCAACTCCTCCTCATCACTGCTTACGACGCAACTGCCAGTTTGGCCTTGGAGTGACCTTGTGTTTCCCCTTGGCCTCCTGCTTCGCTCAGTAATCACAATAGAGTCATGACGAGTTAGGTCAATCACTACAGGTTCTTGAGATTCACAGGTGAGGTCAATTACTTCATCACTTTCCCCAAGATCTATCAGTTCTGCATGC